TGCCTTCTCGCTTGCATGGTTTCTGCTGAGAAATCAGAGCTTATTCTTACTGGTTGTCCTTTGTAGGTAACTTTTTGTTTTTCCCGTGATTCTTTCAGGATTCTGTCTTTGTCTTTGGTTTTGATGAGTTTGATGATGATTGATGTACCGAAAGAACAATCCATGTCATGCTTTGCCATCAGAGGTTATCTTGTGGGGTGTGTCTACTCAGTGTATTGTCTCCAGTTGGGGAAGGGGGAATGAGCCTGTCCAAGACATCCCCACAGCCCCTCTCCCATGCCTGACATCCAAGTCAGGAGCAGACCAGGCCTCACCAGCCTGTTCTAGGGAACATCACGGAGCCCAGTGGTTAGGAGGTTCTTCCCTAGGACTGCATGGCTTTGAGCAGACACTGGACCTGACTCAGCCTCTGTTTCCTCATCTCTGCAGTGTGGTGTTTTGTAAGGACTCAAAGGGCTACTGCTCTTCTTATGGGAAGATATCATGATTACTTAATGATCAAAATGACTTCCACTACTTCATATTTTTGAACATCCTCACCACACATTCTCCATGGAAAGCCGAGCCCTGATTACTCCTGGAGGCACTCGAGTCCCAGCTCCTGCCACAGGTCACTGGTCTGAGCTTGGGTTCCCAATCTGCCTGCTGTGTCACCAGGCTGCCTGTGACAGTCTGTCCCTCCTCTGTCCCAACCTAGTGTGTCTGTGTCTCAGAGCAAGACCCGGAGGAGGCTGGTATGGTGCGGGCCATCAAGGCATGCAGGGTGGACAAGCTTGTGGAGCACCTGGTGCCTGCCATCATGGAGAGGGACTTGGTCTACATGAAGGTCTTTCTGAGCACCTACAGAGCTTACACCACCACCTGGCAGATCCTGACCTGCTGTTCAAAAGGTGAGTGCCCACCCTCTGCCACCAGCTACCAGCTGTAAATCAGGAATGTTGCTTCTCCATCTGAGCCTTGGTTTGTTCCCTACCGGACCAATCTGCTAGGATACTGAAGGGATCCAATGGGACATGCCCTGGGACGTGTGCACCCCAAGCCCAGCTCTTCAGAAGAGCCTGTCTGAGAGGCTGTGATGTATCCTTTCCTTGTTTTCCTCTCTCACTTGAAAAGTCAGCCTCACCTTTCCCTGACCATGTGCCCTTAAGTGAACCTATTTCACATTTGTAAAGGGGGTTGTGATGACATCTTGTGGGAGACTATACTTGGTGTCACCAGAATGGGGATTCCTGGTGGGCATAGGGGTCTCTGGCCAGGAACGTATCGGGGAAGGTGCAGGTGGAGTGGGTGACTCAACAGTTGTCTGTGAAGTCCCTACTGCCGTAGATATTGTTCTAGGCACTTTGCATCATGCCATGAACTAAGCCAACAGGAAGCCCCACCCTCCTGGGCCTCCATTTCAGTCACAGGGTCAGACAGGAAGTCCAGCCCTTGGTGACCACCATTTCAGTCAGGGAGTCCCACGAGAAGCCCTGTTTTCCTTGTCCTCTACTTTAGAGAGACAGGAAAGCCTGCTTTCCTGGACCTCCATTTCAGTCAGGGAGTCACACTGGAACACTGCCCTCCTGGACCTCCATGTCAGTCAGGGAGTCAGAAAGGAAGTCCTACCCTCCTAATCAGGCAGCATCCACAGTTCATTAGATGTGACACCCCCACCTTCCTCCAGGTATGGATTCAACTGCCCTCATTCTGCCAGGGACAACGAACCCCAGGACCAGTGGAAAGAGTGAGTGGACTTTGGGTGGAGAAGGAGGGGCTCCTGTCTCTACAGGGGGTGGAGCTTGTGGGGACCTCTGTTTGCATTTGGGCTGAAAGACGTTGGGTGCTGCACATCCTGAGGACCCTGGAGTACCACCTGCAGGAGAGCAATCACAGATATCTGCAGGTTGGGACTCTGCATCTTGGGGAGCAGAGGACAGCCTGGGGGCTCAGAGGGATCCCTGTAAGAATCTTTGCACCTAAAGTGCCCTCTGAGCTCTGCGTGCCCCCTTCCCTATGGGGGAACCAAAACAGAAGGTGTCAGAAGAAACCTGTTCCAAGATCCTAAGTCCCATTGATGGAGGATCAGCTGCATATGCTTCCCTGTCCTTTGGGGAACACTGCTGGTGGGAGAAGAGATCCTCATGGGCACAGGAAACCAGGCATAATACAGGCACACAAGCTGAAGATATAGAAGGTTGGGCAGAGGGACCCCATATGTCCCTCAGTGTGAGCAGACTGGGGGAGGGGGTACCACATGTGCACCCCAGAGTGGGTAGGCTGAGGGAAGGGGTTGCCATGTGTCCCTGAGGGTCATGTATTCATGGAGCATCCTGGGAGTTCAGTTGTGAGGTGAATGTGCAGAAACACTCTCCTGGCCTCCAGTGCAAACTCCCCTATGGCAAGGCACCAGGCAACAGATGGGCATGTAAGTTGTACTTCTGGGGAAGGAACCATTGGTCAAACCATTAATGGAGAGGACCCTGAGACCAAGTTTCTGTTCTAGCCCTTCCTCAGTGACCAGGCCTTCCACTGCCAGGACAGCTGGAGTGGGTGGGCATGGGAATGGGCTCTGGACGAGGTTTGCAGACATAGGGACTCAGCCTGTAGGTGAAATGATAGTGCCCTGGGAGTGCAGTGTGGTGGAAAGGACAGACCTTAGACTCTGCTCTTCAACACACACTCACCCCCAGAACCATTGCCTTCATTCTGGGCCACTGACTGGAGGACTACCCAGAGGATTTCCATCAGTCCCCAGACTTCCCCTGCCTCAAGACAGTACTGAAGTACCTGCATGTGAATATGCCTGGCTCAGAATTGGAGCACTGTGCCCAACTTCTCCTTGGCCAGCTAGATCACCTGGAGCAGACTGAGACAGAACCGGCAGGTGAGAAGGACTGGGCATCTTTGCTGCTGAGTAATCTGGGGGAATGGGGGTACAACACAGGGACGATCCCATAGGCTGGTGTTGGGCCAAAGCTCAGAGTCACCTAAACCTCTAAATGTGTGAAAAATGGGGAAAAAATACTGGGAGGAAATCTTGGGAACAGGTTCTCATCATGGCAGTGTGATGGTTTTGGTTATTGGAAAGACATGAAGGAAGACACTCATGTGGTTGACTTTTTTCTTTTGCAGCTCCACAGACAAGTCCAATACCCATTGTAAGAATACCCCAAGATACAGCAGTATCTCCAGAACCAACTCAGGGATCACCTGGAGAACTCCAACCTGCTAGTGCACCAAACAAGGACCACCATGAAGCACCAGATCCAACATCACCAGCTCCATCACCTGCAGGTGATAGAGAGCCAGCTGGAGAGCTGGGAGTTCTCCCTGGCCCATCACCAGAAGTGAATAAAGAACCCTCTGGTGATGTGGGTCCAGATGCTGAAACAAAATCAGAGCCACGTAGAACTCCAGGTCCTTTATCACCCACCAGCTCCATTACTGGAAGCTGATGGAGAGCCAGCTGGAGAGCTGGAAATTCTTCCTGGTTCATCACCAGAGATGAATCAAGAACCCTCTGGTGATGTGGGTCCAGACCCTGAAACAAAATCAGAGTCCTATACAGCCCCAGATGCACCATCACCAGCTCTATTACTGGATGCTGAAGAAGAGCCAGCTGGAGAGCTGGAAATTCTTCATCGTCCACCATGAGAAGCAAATGGAGGACACCTGGGTAATGTGGATCGTGATGCAGAAACACCACCAGAGCTCCTTACTGCATCAGATCCATCATTGCCACCTGATGGAGGGCAATCTGGAGGGCTGTAGACCCTTCCATGCACACTGCCAGGAGGAAATTGTGACCCACCTTCTGATGTCCATCCTATTCCTCCCTTAACGTTGTGGCTTAGTAAACCATTATGTTCTCCCTCTCCAGATATGGCCCCGGCCCGACAGGATGAGCCTCGTGCTGTTCCTTCTCCACAGAATGTCCCCTAGAAACAGCACTGTTTTTCCATCACCCAAGTGGGTGCTTTTTTGGTTTTTCTTCAGTATTCTCCCCGCTCACTTTGTCCTTTATACTATTTTAACTGGCAGATGTGAAGTAAGTGACTCCATTTTGTGACTCCATTTTTGTAATGTCCATCTATAACTGGCAATATCTTGCTGAAACTCCATTTTATGCAACTGAAGTGGCCATCTCATCCTGTCCCCACTCCCCGTGGGATAGGAGGTGTCATGGAGGTGTTTTAACCCCTTGATAAATAGAATGCCCCTGAAGTGCTTATCAGAACTAACTCCCCTCACCCCTCAATGAACACCTGTGCTAAATCATGTACTCTGAGTCCTTGAAACAAAGAAATGTAACCTTGAAACAAGAAGTAACCACAACTTCTGCTTCTGTATTATCACTTACTTGCCTACTTGCATTTTAAACTTTATAAAGCTTGCCTAAAATCATGTTAGTTACTGCAGCATAAAAGCATGTTTCAGCTCCCTGCAGTCAGTGAGCCTAAATAAAACTCTCTTCCCAAAAGTGGACATTATAGTGGCTATTATTTTAAATTGAACCCATTACAGATGTCTAATTCAATAGTTTTGACTTAATAGTTTTAATGCGTATGACATAGTGGTTTTGTGAAGTGTCAGAATTGTTTTCTACCATCACCCAGTGTCTGCTTCCAAAAGTTTTTCATCACCAGAACAGAAATCCTGTGCCCATGAAGCAGCCCCATGACCCCTTCCCTAGCCCATGGCAATCAGTGATGGGCTCTTTGTGATTCATCTCCTTGGGTATTCTTCTCTAAGGGGAAATAGCTGGTCCTTCATTTAGTTTGGTGTCTTCAAGCTTCATCTGTGCTGTAGCTGGCATCAGTATCTACTTCTTTTTTAGGCTTAACGGGGTCCCATTATATGTATTGGGCATAGTTTGTTCATCCATTCATCTGCTGATGGACGACTGAGTTGTGTTCACATTCAGACGGTTGTGAGTAGTGCTCCTGTGAGCATTTGGGGACAGGCATTGCATGAGTGCCTGTGAACAGGATAACGGGAGAGGAGGGGAGGGGGTGTGTGGCAAGGGTGAGGGCATAGTCCAAGTGTGGAGAGTGAGAGTTAGGAGGGAACAAGAGGCGGACAATCCTTGAGAGCTGAAGTGGTGGGAGAGGCCTGGAGAACTCCCAAATGTGGGTAACAAGGAGTCAGGAGTGGTCCTGGTGCAGCACTGGTGTGAGTGTGGAGGTGGACAAGGTTAGACCTAGTGAGTGAAGTGAGAGGATGGAAGGGACCAGGACTCCACCACCAGGTGTGGTAAAGAGGATGTGAGAGGGGTCAAGAGGCAGCCCTGTAATGGTCTGTGAGGAGAAGGCATGATGCCCAGGAAGGCACAGATGTGGGAGGAATGGAAGAGAAGGTTTCAGTGAGGGTTTTCTGTGAGCAATGAGGGTGGAGTGCACCAGGCCACACACAGATCAGGAGTAAGGAAGAGGTAGGAAGATATAGGTCAGTAGAAGCATAGGTGGAGGGAGTGAGGAGGTGGCAAGGCTCAGAGGAAGCCCATATGTGGTTGCTAGGCAGGTGAGAGGAGTCAGGAAGCAGCCAAGGTGTGGGATGTGAGGAGCCAGGGCTGGCCAGGATTCAGTCTGGGTGTGGAAACTGAGGAAAAGGAAGGGATTAGAAGAAGCCTCAAATGTGATGAAGGAGGAGTGGAAAATGTCAGGTCCCAGTGGGTGGGAGTTGAGGGCAGCCCAGGAGTGGGAAGTGAGAAGGCTGAAGTGTCTGCAGAGTGAGGAGGTGGAGAGAGTCAGGAGGAGGGCCAGGTGTGTGCAGTGCAGAGGTGTAAAGGGCCAGGAGGCACCCAGGAACAGGCAATAGAGAGAAACCTGAGGGGTGAGTAACAAGGGGGTGGGAGACACAGGTCTGAGTAATGAAGAGGTTGGAGGGGTCAGGAAGTGGTCTCAGTGTG